CTGAAACTTGCTCAGTGGAGAGCAGCCCAGGCTGCCTGGCACTGGGATGGATTCCAGCGGCTCTGGGAGCCAGGGAACGGCAGCCAGAGGAGCTGAGGTGGTGATGGTGATGCTCCCCAGGGTGGGAGCAGGGTGGTGATGGACGGCACCGATGTCAAACTCGGGCTGTTTGCTCCTTATGTGAGCAGCTCCAGAATGAGCTCCGAGAGCCAGCGCTGAGCCCCTGCAGCCTTCTGCTCCTCCAAACACCTCTGGGCACACTCAACCCGCCTCTGTGTGTTTAGACACCAAAATAAACCACCAGCAGTTCAGAGGCTTTTTTCCCCTCCCTGTTTTCCCCCAAAATTATTGGCAAGAAGCCAAGAGCTTTATTTACTCCAGGCAGGGAATGTCTCATTTCAAGCTTTCCTTTTTCTCCCAGGTTCATCCCAGCTCTCCAGAAGTGAGGACAGACTCCCAGAGCTGACCACCTTCCCCAGACACTGCCCTGGGCTGGCCCCAAGGTCTCCAGAGGGAGCCTGGATCGCAGCAGCCCCGGGATGTCCCAACTGGGCTGTGCCCGCACAGAGCATTTCCTGCGGCATTCCCAGCCCAGCACAGCAGCCCACGCTGGGGAACCAGGAACATCTTTTTAAATAAGAGGAGGAAATGGTGTCTTTGTGTCAGGCAAGTGGAAGAAATCCAGGACCAAGAGACTGCAGAGCCTTTCCACTTCAGACAGCAGGTGCTCTCCAAGATGTGGTTATGGCAACAAAATAAATGATGGATAATTGCTTTTGTGACAACTTGCCAATTAAATTAGACTCAGCAGAATAACATAATGACAATTTGTTATGCTCTGGTGGGCACTAACACACCAATCATAATTAAATGCTATGACTGAAATAGAATGCTGCTGTACACAGGAATATATAACCCCAATTCCCTCCCAGTGAAACATTATAGGTTCAGACTTGATTTCAATTTCTGGAGGATAATAGCATTAGCGCACATCAGAATGAGCTTGCAATATGCAGAGAGGCAGCAGCAGCACAGGGACAGACAGAGCCAAGGGCAGCTGAGCCACCGGGCTCCTGCGGGGACCCCCCAGCTCTGCTGCTCGGGCCTGGGAGCAGCGGGGATGTCCCAAAGCACGGCTGAGTCCGGGGGAGGATTCAAATCCCTGCCTCGGGGGAGGGACCGGCTCCGAGCGAGTGACACCGGCCCGGGGGAGCAGCCCCAGCGCAGACACCGAGGCAGAGCTCATGGGGATGGGGTCACAGGGGGCTGCACATCCCTCTCTGCCAGCAAAGCCCTCGCAGCCGGACTGAGCTGCGGGACACGACGCAAATATTCATTAAATCGTCAAATACTCATTAAATGCACTGCTGTGCCCAGGAGTGAACTCAGCCCACAGCTGGGATCCCTGGGGGTCTCAGCCCCACCGGCTGACCCGGCCGAAGTGGCCCTGGCTGCCATCACTGGGTCAGAAGTGAACAATGAGAGGCTCAGGTCCTGCCAGTATTTAACATTTACAGAATAAAACAGCAGCAGCTTCTTCAGCCACTGCTGATGCTGTTCTCACTGGTTTGCTCTGACCCTCCTGCTGCTCCTGCCCTGCCCAGGGGTTTTGTCCTGCACCTTACACATCCCAGAACTCTGGGGCCAGGAATTACCGTGCCGTGGACATTGCTGGTGCTGCAGAAGCAAAACACCGCAAGGAGCACCAATCCAAATTTGTTAAAAGCCCTAATTTAGAACCAGAACCAGGCAGGTGGCAGAGCTGACAGTGCCCAGGTCTTGCAAAGCAGGAGCCACTTCTGTGCCACCCCCTCTCCAGTGTGGAAACACAGCACGTCAGGGCAGCACCTGCTCCAATTCCACATCCATTTTCCTAACAGATATGGATTTCTGGAATATTCCAAAGCTCAAAACGGGGCAGGTTTGAAGACCAAATGTGTGTGTGCAGGCAGGGTTGGACAGAGGCAAATCCCAGGTGATTCCACAGTGGCAATGCCAACAATTTTATATCTTATTTGGAGCTATGTTCTTTAAACCCTTCATTATCTGCCTCGCTGAAGCTTGGCATTGGCAAGGTCAGATCATCTGTTTTTCCAGCAAAGCTGATGAATTATTTTGGCTGCTCCAGACATTAGACCTGATCCTATTAAATCCTTAGTTCCTTTGCCCTCAACACATACCAGCAGATAATCCATGGCCCAGGAACACGTGAAGGGGCTGAGCAGGGCTCTGGGAGCAGCTGCCTGTGGGTTAAAACAGTGCCCAAGCTCAGAGCCCGGCTCTGCAGCCCTGATCTGTGGAACTGGAGGTGTTTGTTCCAGCAGGACACCTCCTGCACTGGCACTGCTTGGGAAAACATCACTCTAAGGACACTGCATCATCCCCAGGAGACTCCTCCAGGCACCCACAGCACCAGTGTAGCTGTGCCCTGCTAGAGGGCAGGCAGCTCTGCACCCCGAAACCTCCGGCTGAAGCCCTCATTTTTAGGAGCTGGCCTTGGAAAACCTTCAGCCTGGCTGTCAGAGCTGTGGAAGGTGTCACTGCCCGTGCTTGTCTCGGCTCCAGAACCTCAGGAATTAAGGCTCCGTGTAACCGGTACTTCGGCATTTACCATCACTTAAAATAGCCTTAAATCAGGAGCTGCCACACGCAGCGCCCGCCCCGCGGGAGGAAGGTCAGGAGTCTGGCCCAGGAAAGGTCACACGGCCGCTCCGGGCCGGGCTGTGGGACTGCGAACGAGCCTTTCGATGGCAGCCGAGGCTCCGCCGGCTGCGGGGACATCAGCGGAGCGCAGGAGCAGCCCCGGGAGCATCCCTCGGCCTCCCCACGGCAGGAATCCCGCACCCGGGGCTCTCCATCCCCCGCTGCCGGGGGAAGGCGCGATGCCTTTCAGATCCCTTTGTGGTGAAAGCTCGGAGCCGCAGCCGGGCTGCCGTGCCCGCAGTGCCCGGGCAGGGCTCGGGAGGAGCCGCCGCCAGGAGCGGAGCGCGGCTCCCACCTAGCGAGGAGCGCCGGGGGACCGGAACGGGGAGCCCGCACAGCGAGAGCCTCAGCCCTGCTCCTGCTGCCGGGGAAACACACACACACCCCGAGAGACAGACAGACAGACACACACACACACCCCGAGAGACAGACAGACACACACACACACACCCCGAGAGACAGACAGACACACACACCCCCCGAGAGACAGACAGACACACACACACCCCGAGAGACAGACAGACACACACACACCCCGAGAGACAGAGACACACACACACACCCCGAGAGACAGACAGACAGACACACACACACACCCCGAGAGACAGACAGACAGACACACACACCCCGAGAGACAGACAGACAGACACACCCCGAGAGACAGACACACACACACACCCCGAGAGACAGACACACACACACACCCGAGAGACAGACACACCCCGACAGACAGACACACACAGACACACAAACACAGACACACACAGACAAACACACACAGACAAACACACACCCCGAGAGACAGACACACACACCCCGACAGACAGACACACACAGACACACACACGCACGCACAGACACACACACACAGACACACACACACACACAAACACACACAGACACCCCCCCACCCGCCTGTGCCCAGAGCCTCTGCACTGCATTCCCGCAGTTCCAGCGTGCCCATCAAACGCTGCTCAAACTCACTGCTTTAACTGGTTTTATCTTAATTGCACAAATTCTGCAGCTCGCAGCCCCGTGTGTTCCCCGACACCCAGACACAACAAATCCATGGCACAGGTTCCAACCACTGCTCCATCAACCAGACCTGCCCCTGCCTGAGCCCAGGGCTGGCTGTGTCCTGGCAGCTTCCAGCAGGGAATTCCCACACTCACACCGTGGCAAGGCTCCTGTTCTCCCTGGCTCTCCCCTCTCCACTGAAACACAGGGTCCCAGACAGATTTCCAGGTTCTCCCGCACATTTGGCCACATACCTGCCTCGGGCCCACGATCAGCACAGTGCAGAGTGCTCCTGCAGGGGCAGGGTGTGGAGCACAGACACTGTGTGCTGCTCCTCTAACCAAGGCCTCTGCACCTCCTGAGCTGGGGTTTGGCTCCCTGGCACGAGGCAATCACCCCATAACGCCCTCACCTGTGGGCATCCCCATGGCCATGGGAATTAACACCCTGCAGCTGGTCACCATCCCCATGGCCATGGGAATTAACACCCTGCAGCTGGTCACCATCCCCATGGCCATGGGAATTAACACCCTGCAGCTGGTCACCATCCCCATGGCCATGGGAATTAACACCCTGCAGCTGGTCACCATCACCTTCCCAGCCGTTCCAGAGGAGGAAAAACCCCTCAGGGGTCTCTCAGTCCACCTCCCCAGGACACAGCTGTGCCCGAGGGAAAATCCAAGTACTCACTTCCCAAGGGCTCCCCACTCGGGAAGGCTGGTCCAGCTGGGAGGGATCTGCCTCCAGAGCCGCCCTCTGTGACTTTTTTCAACACAAAATAAAACCAATTCCAACTTTCTCACCTGCTCCGCACAGCAACTCATTCAGGGCACACCCCAAGGCTCTGGCAGGGCTCTAAATTCGATGTTTTTGCTGATCTGGAATGGATCTGTGCTAAAACAGAGGGATTTTTGCTCTCTGTAACAAAACCCTGCGCCCCTCTCGAGCTACAAGAACAGAACTGGGAATAAAGTTTGACTTTCCAAGGATAACTGAGTGATTCTGCTGTGATCACATCAGTACCAGGAGTGAACCAAGGCACAGAAACCAAGGCATGGGCATTTCTACAGCCTGCTGTTCACTGCCACTGAGCTTTCCTGCATCACACACAGCAGCAGCAGCACTAAACTGAGTGGGGAGGGAGAGGTCAGACATCACTTACACCTGTTAGTGGGGGGTGGTGGCAGTCTGGCATTTTAAGGAATAGCAAATGAAAGGAAAAACACACAAAAAAAAAATCACAAAGAAAAAGAAAAGAGACAAAACAGACTGTTTGTTCTTTCTTCATACAGTCCAAGCCAAAATGTTTGGTGAAAGATCAGCCAGCCACTGCATCTGCAGACACAGGAAGAGCTCCCTCCTAATCCCAGGAACATTGGTTGTTATTTTTTTCCAAGCCAGCTTGCCAGTGACTGTTCCCTAAGCAGCACCACCCTTCTCTCAGCAAACAGCTGGAACGTTCCCTTTTCACACTTCAAAGCTGACCAGTTTCATCAGGAGTCACTAAAAACCTGCAAAGCTCCCAATTATCTGGTACTGCCACACCTCATCCCGCTCTGAATTTAAGCAAACGATGGAATGGGAAGAGCACATTACACCACTTCTATAAACAGCACCTTTCCTCAATCAGCTATAAAAAGATGACACTTCAGACAGCTGCTGGAATACATCAAACAAGATCTGCCATTCCCTCAGCAGGAAACATCTTCACTACTGCAAACCAGACACCTGAGCAGGCAGAACTTCCAGTTTTTAAAGAAAATGTTTTTAAATTTCCGCTTTTAGACTTGGTATTTTGCAACTCGATTTCAGAAAACAGTCGTGAACCCTAAAAAACAAAGATTATTTGTGACTTTATCAGTGTGGAGCTGGGCAGAGGGGAATGTGTCACATGGATCCTGTTCCCTCGGGGAAATGTCCCAAAAGAGGGCTGGAGGGTGGCTCCTGGCAGCTCAGCAGGGCTGTCAGGAGGGACAGGGATTCTCCTTCTGTGCCCCTGCCAGCTCTGGTGGCTGCTCCTTCCCGTCCTTCCTCTTCTCCTGCAGCTCCTCCAGCACCGTTTGCAGCTGCAGCTGCAAGGCAGGAGCCCTGGATCCAGCACCCTGCTGCTCCTGCTGGGCCACCTGCAGGACAGGACAGAAAAAATCCCGTGAAACAGGGTGGGAAAAGCTTCTGAAGGGTGACTGAGGAGAGCAACAGCTCTCTGTGCATCCAAAAAACGTTTAATTCATGCTGAGGTTATTATGGAGGCACAATAGGACATCCCCAGAGAGGCTGCTGACCACCAGCTAAAAAATGGAATAATTCAAGATACAACAACAAATATACAAAGTTCCAAATGCTTTCTACAAACACACCATGAATTGTTTGAATGATTACTCAGTTTCACCAGAAAAACATCTTTTCTGACCCACAAGTCCCTTAACCTTGGCCAGACATGTTTGTGGCCAAGAGGAAAGTTTTCTCTGCACAGCAAAGACATTTTAAGACCACCAGGTGTGTGACTGCTCCGCTGAGGATTTTCCTCAGGCCAACTCAGCATTAAGGGTATGGGAGCAGAGTTTTCTCAATCCACCAGCCAAGTAAGCCTGTGAATATTCAGTACTCACTTTATCTACTCCTCTTCTCTGTAAAATGATCCCACTGGCTAAAAGGGCTTTTCCTGTTTCTTCAAACAACTTCTCCTCTTCAATCTTCCCTTCTTCCTTCAGCTCATTGTATTTCTCAACAAACCTGGATTGTAAAGTTGCTTTTTTACACTCACAAATAACCTTCTGGTTCACTGCCTGAAGGGGGAAAGGGGCAGTCTCAGACACATTTCAGGTTTAATTATCATCTTACCTCTGGCAAGTAGATTTGAAGTTTAACTGTGTCAGGTCGAAAGGTCTGGGGCCATTGCCATAAACTTTGTAAAACCTCCTGCTCAGGAAAGGAAAGTTTAGATTTTGCAGCTCAACCCAGAGGAAACAGGCAACAATCAGTTAACTTAGGGTGCAGTAAGAGCATTCCTATCACTATTTCTCCTTTTCACGGGAGCCTTTGTGCACAGGTGGCAGTGTCCCAGGCTGGTCGGGGCCGGGAGCAGCCCGGGGCAGCGGGAGGGGTCCCTGTCCTGCCAGGGGCGGCTCTGGAGGAGTTTTCGGGTCCCTCCAGCCCAAACCAGTTTGGGATTCTACAGAGCTCCGTCCCAGCTGTTTTCTTTGCGTTAATAAATTCAATTTAATCACCACGAGCCGCGGGTCAGAGCGGGTCCGGAGCTCCGTGCTGGGCAGGGATCCGCCGTTCCGAGCCCGGGGAGCGGCACCGAGCCCAGCCCGGTTCGTTCCGAACCATGCAAAGGAGGAGCGAAGGCTGGCGGCGGCCCCGGGAGGGCTGAGGGCCGGGGGAAGGCGGTGGGCCGGGGGAAGGCGGTGGGCCGGGGCACTCACGCTCGCACGGAATCCTCCCGGTAGAAGATGGGCGCGATGCGGTCCCGGGCGCCGCCGTAGCGCGGCCGCGGCACTCGGTACACGGGCTCCCGCAGCGGCGGCAGCGCGGCGTACACGTCCAGCCACAGCGGCTTCTCCAGCAGCCCGAGGCGCACCAGGTTCCGCGTCCTGCGGGGGACAAGCGGCGGCGGGAGGTGCTCAGGGGGCCGCGCTCACGAGAGAACCGGGGCCCCCGCCCCCGCTGAACCTTCCCCTCCCCGCACCGGCTGAACACGCTCCCGATCTTGTGCGTGCGGCTCCCGGCCATGGCGGCCCCGCCGGAGCCCGGCCCGGTGCTGCCCCACAGCCGGAACCGGAAATGGAACCGAACGGAACCGGAACCGGAGCGGCCGCCAGGGTACGTAGCCGAGTGCCGAGCGGCGGCGGGAGAAGGTGCCCAGGCAGCGCCAGCCGATGGCCGAGCGGCGGCGCAGCCCGATCGCCCCCATCGGTTTGGCGGCCGCCCCCGGCGCTGTCGCGACAGACGGGACCGGCCCGGGGCTGCCCCGGCACCCTCTGCCCCGGCCCGGGCACCACCAGCAGTGCCGGGGCTCGTGGGAGCCTCGTCTCCTGTCAGCTGCTGATGCCCTGTCACAGAATCGCGGAATATCCCGAGCGGGACCCGCAGCCGTGACCGAGTCCCAGCCGTGTCCCTGCAGAGCCCCCCACAGTCCCGTGTCCCCGCAGAGCCCCCCACAGTCCCGCCGTGCCCCCTGCGAGCGCTGCCCGAGCGCTCCCGCAGCCCCGGCAGCCTCGGGGCTGCTTCTCGTAGAACCTTTAAGGCTGGAAAAGTCCTGCGGGTTCATCAAGTGCAGCACCCGCTGTCCTTGGGCCTCGGCCGCCGGAGAGTGGGGAGAGGGACCGGCACCGGTGGGATCAGCCCCGGTGGGACCGGCACCGGTGGGATCAGCGCCGGTGGGATCGGCACCAGCCCTGTCCATGGCCGGACCGAGCCCTGGGCAGCCCCAGCAGCCCCAGCACGAGCACCACACGATGCCAGTGTGTGTTTTGAAGCTCGGTTTATGCACTGCAGCCAGGCCCGGTGTACACAGCCTTCCTGCAGCCTGCCTTTCCTGGTCACTAGGTGCAGCCCTCAGCTTGGGAATGAGCTGAGGGGAAGGAAAACGCATCCCTGCTTCCATCCCGCAGCCTGGCGAAGGAAGGGGGCAGTAAATTTCCACGGCAGACTGGCAGCCAGCAGGTATCCCCGGGCTCGGACAACTCCAGCCCCATCCCCAGCCCGCCCCGGGCTGTTCTCAGCTGCTGCTTTCCTTAAAACGCTGGGAAAGCAAAACTCCAGTCCCTGTGGAGGAGAGGAATTCCAAACGGAGCTGCTGGAGCTGCTCCAAGGCCTGGGCAGGCCCTGGGCTCTGCACTCCCCACGGCACCGAGGCTTTCTCCAGCATTCGATGCTTTTGACATTTAAGGCAAGAATACCTTGACTTTTTCCAGGCTTTTCTTTCACAGGGAAGGTTTCCGAGCCACACATGAGGCTGGAAAGCTCCAATCGTGCCAGGAAACGAAAGCTGGCGCAGGACAGGAGGATCCTGTGCTATCCCTGTAAGGGAGGGGGATGCTGCGTGTGCCCCCCAGCCCTGCCGCTGCCCCCAGGGCTGCTTCCCCAGGGACGGCTCGTTGGATTCTTGAGGAAATCACTCACACAGCACAAATTCAGCCCCATCAGGAGCAGGGAGGCAGCAAACCAGGGCAGATTTGGGGCGTTTGCATCTGAGGGGCACAGCTGGAGCTGGGCTAGAGCTGCCCCTTCCCTCCCCAGCCCCCTTTCTTTCTTTTTCCCCCTGTAAAGAGCAGAAAAATACACTGTTAAAAAATATTCAGTGTTAAGAGTACAACAGGACTTTATTATAGGAATTACTATTAAACATCTTTAAGAAAAAAAATCACTTACGGAAATAAATTCTAAAATAACCACACTCACAGACGTCACAGATCGTTTTGTTTTGTTCTTTTGAAACTTTTTTGTAGAGAAATGATACAAACATCACTGAGAATTGTACATTATTATGTAAGAAATGCATTTTGGCTCCCAGCTGGGTTTGTGGCCTTTCCACTCCTTAGACCTGACTTTTTGTGTTTTATAGGACACAGAAACAACCCCTCTCCATTAAAATGATGTTTTGTGTCTCCAAGATATTTTGCCACGGCTACAGAGTGACATCATCCAGAGGCTGTGCCAGGCCTGGGATGTTCCAGGGCAACTTGTTGGGTGGGGGTGGTGGCCAAGCCGTGCCCAGGGCCCTGTGGTGGCTACGGTGTTTTTGGTGCAGGGTCAGAGCCAGTGGGGCTGGGCACTGGCACCCACCTGTCCCCTCCCCAGCTCATGGCCCCCGGCCACCTTTCCTTGCTGTCCCTTTCTCAGCGGGAGCAGAGGGTGCCAGACACCTCGGGGATGTGTTCAGAAATCAGAGGCAGCTGCTGGCCCAGGACTGCTCCACCACAAGCCTTGGCTGGCTTACAGAGGTGACTCGGGACGTGTCCCCTAAGGAGCAGCCTGGGAGGGGCAGGGTCCCCCTCTTTGCCCTGAAGCCAGCAGTGCAGCAGGACTCACCTGTGGCCCTGTGCCAGCCTCAGGAAAGCTCAGCCCATCCCTGAACCCTGCACGGGCCAGCCCAGCCCTCCTGCCAGCACCTCCTGCTCTGGGAGAGAATTCCCTTCCCGCCCCTTGGTGCTTCCTGCACTCATGGAAACTTCGCTGGGACTGAATCCCTCGGTAGCTAAGAGGCGCTGGAATGGTGACAAGCTGATCTGCTTCCAAGTTTGATTTTCTTCCAAATATGCAGAGCTGCTTTGGACTGGGAAGGAGTAACAGCAGCCTCCTCCGGCCCCCAGCGCCATCAGAGGGTAAGGAAGCAGCCCCTCCTTCTCTTCAGCACTCTCAGAATTGAAGTCCCACACAGGGATTAGAGGTTTTTCCATTCCCTGATTCACCCACAGCCCCTTGCACCCTGAGCCAGGTGTTCTTCCAGACCCACATCCTTCCCTGGGCAGGGCAGAGCAGCCTTGGCATGCTGTGGGACAGCCAGTGTGGCTTGGGCTGGCCCAAACCTGTCACTGTGCTGCCACAACTCAGGATGTGCTCTTCAGTCCTTCAAAAGCAAAGGAGAGGACACCAAAACTGGTGTGGGCTGGCCGGGGTGGCAATTCTGCTGCTCTGATTTTAGGAACCCAAAGCTTGTTGGCATCCCAGGGTGCTCCCAGCCCGCTGCATCCTGCCCTGGCCCTTGGCACCCCGGAACTCATCTGAGCACTGGTGCTGCAGGAGAGTTTTGTGCTATGGAGACATCACCCAGACCCTGCAGACACCTGGAAGCAGCCCCAGACACCTGGAAGCAGCCCTGCCCCTGGCCAGGAACCAGGAGAACGTGAAGTGATGCCCCAATCCCCACGGCTGGCGGGGACAGCAGCGCTCAACAGGTGCAGCAGCTGCAGCGCTGGCGGGGGAGGAACTCTTGGCGTCCACTTCAAAGGCACATGGGCTCCACTGGGATTGAAGAGGAGCCCGCCGGGAGCCAGCGCCTGCAAGGGGGACTTTGTTACCAAACCCTGCGGAGAGGCAGGGAAAACACTTGCGTGAGTGTCTGATGGCTGGGGCTTCTTCGTCTGCCGCCTTCACAGCTCCAATCCTGCAACATTTGTGCTGGTTGGCGGGAGCCAGAGAGTGAAACAGGCACGTCTAGAGCCACCTCCTGCATTTGGCAGGGAACGCTGTGCCGATAAAGGAGAAGAAAATGTGCTGGCGGGAGCGAATTCTGACTTTACGCTCGTCACTCATTACTTACACAGCGAAGGAATTTGTTTATGTAATTATTTTTAGCCTGACAGCATCTCCGAGAGCTGCAGGATTTTGGCGCTGTGGGCATGAGGCAGGGGCTCTGCTCCTGCCCCACACCAAACGCAGCGGTGCCCCCAAGCCCTGGTACAAAGTCTCTGTGCTGGAAACACCTCCAGCAGCCCTGCCAACCCCTGGCTCAGGCTTTGCCTCTTACCTACAGCATCCCTGGGGGCATCCCTGGAGCTGCCAGACTCCAGGACCACCCCCAGCACCCCAGACCCGGCTGGATGTGTCCTGCTCCATCAGTGAGGGTTAAACTGGTGTGAAATCCAGCCCTTGGTGCTGCCCCACGGCGGCACAAATCTTCCCAACTTCAAGGCAGTTGTAGCAATGCCGAAGGCAAAGGTTTAATTCAAAGTGAAATGCCTAGGAAAAGAAGGCCTTTCCTTTATAAACATTTTATATTATTTGACTATTACCTGATCTGAATCTCTGCTCATTACTCCTAGCAATAATAGACAACAGCTGTTAGCTTCCCTTTCTCACGTGGTTTTTGTTCCGGTGTGCGCAGAGTGAAGTTACATCAGACCACTACAGATATGTTCAGGAGTGCTCCGGCCAAGCAGACCCCACGTGTGAGTGCATCCTCGTTAGTACAACTGATTTCAGACTGATTTCATTCCTCCTGCACTGAGAGAGCAGGTGGGGCTGCTCCTCCCCAGCCTGAGCTCCCCTGGCTCCTCTGCAGCCACTCACAGCAGCTGCCCGCTTTTTTTTTTTCCTTTTTTTTTTCCTTTTTGGCTGATTTCCTTGATAGGAAAAGTTGTTTTCAAACCACTGGTAAGAAAACTTTGTGCCTCACTTCGATACTTGTACTTCAGAGGAGTACAGCAGCAGAGGGGGAACAGCCAAAATCTGGGTGATTTGTTGGGTGGGATTTTCCTTTTTCAGCCATCTCCTGCTGAAGCCTCGTGCACGTCCTGTGCCAGCAAGAACCCCCAGTGCTGGGACCTGCAGGGAGGGGAAGAGAACAGCACGTGCTCAGCCTCAGCCACACAGTGACAGCACCTGGGGCTGTCCCAGCCACGGCACCCTCGGCCACTGATGGGGCTCGTCTCCACCCAGACACACTCTGGATCCAGCCCAAAGCTCGTGGCTGCTCCTCAGCCAGGCCAGGCCGTTCACACCACAGTGATCATCCATCCCCAGGTGCCTCTCACCGTTTACTGCCCTGCCTTCGGCGTCTCCTCCTCCTCCCGGAGCTGCTGCCGCCGTGCTTGGAAATCTTCATCTGAAAGGCAGAGGCAGGAGGGGGCTGTAGCCAGCTCCACACCAGGGCACCACTGCACCCCGGTCCCAGCTCTGGGGAGGAGCCCCCGGGGGAGGGTTTCCTTGCTCAGAGTGAGAATTCACAGTGGGACTTAGGGAGTTTCTACCAGAACAAGCCTGAGAACACTGGATGGAGGCTCTGGCCCACAGGGGTATTTCTGCCAGGCATTCACACCTGCGCCAGCC